AGGGGAGTGGAAGTAACCAGAAGCCGTCGCAACTCTCCTTTTCTCTGCCGTCTGCACGGACTTCCTCGGCAGATCTGCCCGGCGTAGCTCTGGATTCCGATTCGGAGAAAGTGTATATGATCGCTCAACCGTCACTGTACAGCCTGTCTAACGAGAGCTTCGTGAGTCTTCCGGCCTAAGGAAAGTTTCTAAAGCGATGGGCCAAGGGGATGGCTACGAGTAAAACATCACAGGCCATTGTGGAGAGTGGCGGGGAAAGTCGCAGCTTTGTGGGTGCGCAAGGGAACACCGCCAGGGCACTCAGCCACGGCCACATAACCCCTACGACATTGAGTTATAGCAGCATCCATGGCCCGAACTACGGAACACCCAGGCGAAACAGCGTCAGTGTGTCTTTGCTATCCCCGAATCCGGCGAGCCCGCCCACGTTCATGTTCTCCAGCGGGGTTGAGACAGCCGAGCGCACCATCACATCTATTAGCAGCTCGGCTTTACCGCTGTACCGGAAAGAGGTTTGGCTCAATGTGTCAGAGACCTCGCCCCCGATGCAGCACAGGAAATCATAACAGTGACTACAAGCCGACGCTATGTACTGGTGTACAGCATGCAGGGAAATTGGCTCGATCTTCCGTAGCACTCACTCCCCCATTGCGACGCAAGAAATCATATTTTGCACTGGTATGCCACCCAGAAAATCATATGCTCTTTGCAAGCCAACGACATACTAGGTTCTACAACCTGCGAGGGGATTGGCTCAATGTTCGACAGAAACCGGCTTTAGTGCAACGCCAAAAAAATTATGACAGTTCATTGTATATAAAAGCCGACGCGAGGTTCGTGTTCGCTGCTTGCGAACAATTTGGCCAGTCGTTACAACCCGCAAGACGAGGCCTACGAATAGGTGTGCAGCCCGCGAGATGAATGCTGAGCAACCTTCAGATGAAAGGGATTATCTCGAATCCTATCATCCCTGCATGGGCACCCTAATTTGATCCGTGCATCCGTGATCAGGCTAGTCCTTCGTCACGAAACTCCAGGAAAATAATCGAATAGTAATGGTATCCTATACACCACTTCCGTCGAAGTGTGTCTTCCTTGATTCCGAGAAGCTCTCGGCACCGTTTGTCACGTTGATATGGATAGAAGTATGATCTGTCAATCGACGAGCCCAGATATGTCCAGTTTGAGTGTTCAAACTTTTTATCTAGCGTGAACTTGACGCTGTCGGCCTTGTCCTTATATCCGCCGCGGCGCACGAACGCGTGCAGTGTGGTCACATACGTACATCAAAGTGTGGCCTGGAGCCACAAGAGGTCATCTATGACTACAGGCGTGCATCGAACCGCAACTGTCCATGTGCATCCGACCACCAGCGGTCTTCTACATACTCACGTAGCCCATAGATAGTATCGATTAACTTAGTTTTGTGAAATATCAACGTAAACTACGGAACAGTGTTTAGTGTCATCCGTAGATTCCAACCATGTA